TATAATATAATCTATAATATAATATAATATAATCTATAATATAATCTATCTATTTCTATAATATAATCTATCTATCTATAATATAATCTATAATATAATATAATATAATCTATAATATAATACAATATAATCTATAATATAATCTATCTATTTCTATAATATAATCTATCTATCTATAATATAATCTATAATATAATATAATATAATCTATAATATAATATAATATAATATAAATAATATCTATAATATAATATCATCTATCAATTTCTATAATATAATCTATCTATCTATAATATAATCTATAATATAATATAATCTATAATATAATATAATATAATCTATAATATAATCTATCTATTTCTATTATATAATATATCTATCTATAATATAATCTATAATATAATATAATCTATAATATAATATAATATAATCTATAATATAATCTATCTATTTCTATAATATAATCTATAATATCTATCTATAATATAATCTATAATATAATATAATATTCATAAACTATAATATAATATAATATAATCTAATAATATAATATAATATAATCTATAATATAATCTATCTAATTTCTATAATATAATCTATAATCTATCTATCTCTATAATATAATCTATAATATAATATAATATAATCTATAATATAATATAATATAATCTATAATATAAATCTATCTATTTCTATAATATAATCTATCTATCTATAATATAATCTATAATATAATATAATATAATCTATAATATAATATAATATAATCTATAATATAATCTATCTATTTCTATAATATAATCTATCTATCTATAATATAATCTATAATATAATATAATATAATCTATAATATAATATAATATAATCTATAATATAATCTATCTATTTCTATAATATAATCTATCTATCTATAATATAATCTATAATATAATATAATATAATCTATAATATAATATAATATAATCTATAATATAATCTATCTATTTCTATAATATAATCTATCTATCTATAATATAATCTATAATATAATATAATATAATCTATAATATAATATAATATAACCTATAATATAATATAATATAATCTATAATATAATATAATATAAATAATATAATATATATAATATAATCTATTTCTATAATATAATCTATCTATCTATAATATAATCTATAATATAATATAATATAATCTATAATATAATATAATATAATCTATAATATAAACTATCTATTTCTATAATATAATCTATCTATCTATAATATAATCTATAATATAATATAATATAATCTATAATATAATATAATATAATCTATAATATAATCTATCTATTTCTATAATATAATCTATCTATAATATAATCTATAATATTATTATTATCTATAATATAATCTATCTATTTCTATAATACTAAAAGTCTGTTAATCGTGCTTTACGTGGTGCGTCGTCCGTCGGGTGCATAATAATGATTTAAGTTTCTTTCCACCTCTTACTTTCCGCCTCTCGGTGATGGCGTGCGTGCTTATTTATATCTCAGCTTTCTTTAAACAAACAACATTTTAAATATTTAAAAAACATTTTTGCCATATTTAAAAAATTTTTCGAGTTAATATGATTTTAAAATATTTTAAGTAGGTACGTACACGAGATCGCTAAAAAATCAACATACCATGATGAAAACATGTTTCAAACGTAATGAAAAAACAGTTTTATCGTCAAAATGTTAAATGTTATTATTAAGAGGAAGGATCAAAGTATTTTTTGATTATTTAATTAAATTTTTTACTCCTTTTTAGAACATTCGAAATTTTGATTAAAAAACTTGTTTTACTTGCGTCAGCGATTGTACTAACTTTCAGCATAGAAAATTTTCGCCTCTTTTTTTTTGCGGTGACTGACACAATAATTTTGAAAATCAAACAATTGTCCCATTTTAATGAAATTTTCAGAACTTATTCACAAACAAATGGAATTATTTTTTATTTTTTTATTAGAAAATCTTGGTAAAATATTTTTTATGTAATACTTAATATCATGAAAGCTTAAGAAAGTAATCGAGATAGTTTTTAGTGACAATATTAGTTACTTAAAAGCAATATTTTTTGAAGAATTTAAATCACCGATATTTTTCTTTTTTTTTTTTGCGAAATCGGGCCCGAAAAATCTGTTCTAAATTGAAAAATAAAAAACGCAATAAAACTAAGACATTATTTAATTAGAGAGGCTTTTAATTGCTTTTATGAATAATATATATTAAAGACAATATTGTCTGAAGAAAAAACATTTCGATGAAAGATTAATTTTTAAGATTTGATACAATTTCAAATTGAATAATTTATAAAGATTTCGAATTTTTAAAGTTAAATTTCAATGAGATAATTCTTAGAGAATATTGTTATTAAGTAAAGCTATATTTATTAATCATATATTTTAAATCTTACTTATTACAATCTGAAGACCACGACTATTTTTAAAGGAATTTCGATTTGTTTTTGTATATGTTTATAGATGCAGAATTACTGAAGTATGGATGGACAAACTAAATATATTCTTAAAAGGTCACGTGTTTTGATGGTTGTCCTCCCTCTTAAGTTTTGTTTACAAATGTCTAAAATATGGCTGACGTTATCGATTTTACTGAAAAAAAATGCAAGTCTACTCCAATCAATATAATTTCAGTCTGAAATACACCAAAGTATTTTGCTTACCCGGTATAGTAAATTTAATCCTTTAGATTTTATTTAAACCTAAATTGAAAGCTTCAGTAAAACTTTTTGATTTTTAATAATTCATTTTAAACCAAATTAGTGGAGGTACCTAAAAGTGAATGAGATTTTAAAATACGAGTTGTTTATATAGTAAGTATTTTTATTTCAACTTTCTACAAAAAGACTTTTTTTAAGTTAAAATCGAATACACTGTTTTATAAACTAAACCGTCAGTGACCCGACGGAGCAAGGGTAGTCTAATATTACATTCACAATGATCACTTCCAAATGAGGAAACAACGAGGGTCAATTATTGAAATCAAGTGTGCAGGAAAAAGTCGTAATGAATTAACTAAGCTATTGAAAAGTTTCTGTTGTTTCAGTCGTATCAGTGGTTCCAGTGATCTGAAGTCGATATGCAGACCGTAGATTCAGTGATCTGTAGTCGATATGCTTCGAGAGTGGATTCAGTGATCTGCAATCAATATGCAGGCAGTGGTTACACTGATCTGGTACAATTGCGTTACAGAAATAAATGTAAAAGAGATATGTTGGCCCTTGAGATCAACCCTGATCACTGGGAGGACTTTGCTGCTGACCGTTCAGGGTGATGAAACACCCTAACTAAACATCTAATGTCAGGAGAGGAGAAATTGAACAACGCACAAGAAGACAAGCAGACCTACAGAAATAAAAAAATAAAAAATAAAAAAACCTGCAGCATAGACAACACACAGACAATTCACATGTGTAACTTGTGTGACAGAGACTGCCACATGCGGATCGGCCTGTTCAGCCATATGCTGCGATGTTCCCGAAGAGCAGATGGATGTGATCACATATATGGTCATTGATGTCCGGCCGAGGCCTTATATAAAGAGAATAGGCTGACAGTGGTTTCATTGATCTGCTGTTGATATGCAGACAAAGGCGTCACTGGCCTGTAGTCGATATGCAGACAGTGGTTTCTGTGATCTCCAGTCGATATGGAGACAGGAGTTCAGTTATCTCCAGTTGATATTCAGACAGTGGCTTCACTAATCTTCAGTGGAAATGTTGGCAGTGGTTACAGTGATTCCCAGTCGATATGCTAACAGTGGTTCCAGTGACAAACAGTCAATATGCAGTGGTTTCAGCGATCTCCAGTCGATATACAGACAAAGGCGTCGCTGCGCTCTAGTAGATATGCAGAGAGTGGTTTCTGTGACATCTAGTCGATTTGCAGACAGTGGTTTCCTGTGACCTCTAGTAGATTTGCAGACAGTGGTTTCCTGTGACCTCTAGTCGATTTGCACACAGTGGTTTCTGTGAACTCTAGTCAATTTGCAGACTAGTTTCTGTGACCTCTAGTCGATTTGCAGACAGTGGTTTCTGTGACCTCTAGTCGATATGCAGACAGTGGTTTCTGTGACCACTAGTCGTTATGCACACAGTGGTTTCTGTGATCTCTAGTCGAAATGCAGACAGTGGTTTCTGTGACCTCTAGTGGATTTGCAGACAGTGGTTTCTGTGACCTCTAGTCGATTTGCAGACAGTGGTTTCTGTGACCTCTAGTCGATTGGCAGACAGTGGTTTCTGTGATCTCTAGTCGATTTCCAGACAGTGGTTTCTGTGACCTCTAGTCGATTTGCAGACAGGGGTTTCTGTGACCTCTAGTCGATTTGCAGACAGTGGTTTCCTGTGACCTCTAGTCGATTTGTTGACAGTGGTTTCTGTGACCTCTAGTCAATTTGCAGACAGTGGTTTCTGTGACCTCTGGTCAATTTGCAGACAGTGGTTTCTGTGACCTCTAGTCGATTTGCAGACAGTGGTTTCAGTGACCTCTAGTCGATTTAAACAGTGGTTTCTGTGACCTCTAGTCGATTTGCAGACAGTGGTTTCTGTGACATCTAGTCGATTTGCAGACAGTGGTTTCTGTGACCGCTAGTCGATAGGCAGACAGTGGTTTCTGTGACCTCTAGTCGATTTGCAGATAGTGGTTTCTGTGACCTCTAGTCGATTTGCAGACAGGGGTTTCTGTGACATCTAATCGATATGCAGACAGTGGTTTCCTGTGACCTCTAGTCGATTTGCAGACAGTGGTTTCTGTGACCTCTAGTCGATTTGCAGACAGTGGTTTTTGTGACCTCTAGTCGATTTGCAGACAGTGGTTTCTATGACCTTAGTCGATTTGCAGACTGTGGTTTCTGTGACCTTTAGTCGATATGCAGACAGTGGTTTCAGTGACCTCTGGTCGATTTGCAGACAGTGGTTTCTGTGACCTCTAGTCGATATGCAGATAGTGATTTCTGTGACCTCTAGTCGATATGCAGACAGTGGTTTCTGTGACCTCTAGTCGATTTAGACATTGGTTTCTGTGACGTCTAGTCGTTTTGCAGACAGTGGTTTCTGTGACCACTTGTCGATTTGCAGACAGTGGTTTCCTGTGACCTCTAGTCGATTTGCAGACAGTGGTTTCTGTGACCTCTAGTCGATTTGCAGACAGTGGTTTCTGTGACCTCAAGTCGATTTGGAGACAGTGCTTTCTGTAACCTCTAGTCGATTTGCAGACAGTTGTCTCCTGTAACCTCTAGTCGGTATGCAGACAGTGGTTTCTGTGATCTCTAGTCGATTTGCAGACATTGGTTTCTGTGAAGTCTAGTCGATTTGCAGACAGTGGTTTCTGCGACCTCGTGTCGATTTGCAGACAGTGGTTTCCTGTGAACTCTAGTCGGTATGCAGACAGTGCTTTACTGTTACCTCTAGTCGATTTGCAGAAAATGGTTGCTGTGACATCTAGTCGATTTGCAGACAGTGGTTTCTGTGACCTCGTGTCGATTTGCAGAAAGTGGTGTCCTCTGACCTCTAGTCGATTTGAAGACAGTGGTTTCTGTGACCTCTAGTCGATTTGCAGACAGTGGTTTCCTGTGACCTCTATTCGATATGTACACAGTAGTTTCTGTGAACTCTAGTCGATTTGAAGGCAGTGGTTTCTGTGACCTCTACTCGATTTGCAGACAGTGGATTCTGTGACCTCTAATCGATTTTCAGACAGTGGTTTCTGTGACCTCTAGTCGTTTTTCAGAAAGTGGTTTCAGTGACCTCTAGTCGATTTGCAGACAGTGGTTTCTGTGACCTCTAGTCGATTTGCAGACAGTGGTTTCCTGTGACCTATAGTCGATTTGCAGGCCGTGGTTTCTGTGACCTCTAGTCGATTTTCAGACAGTGGTTTCTGTGACATCTAGTCGATTTGCAGACAGTGTATGCTGTGACATCTAGTCGATATAAAGACAGTGGTTTCCTGTGACCTCTAGTCGATTTGCAGACAGTGGTTTCTGTGACCTCTAGTCGATTTGAAGACAGTGGTTTCTGTGACATCTAGTCGATTTGCAGACAGTGGTTTCTGTGACCTCTAGTCGATTTGCAGACAGTGGTTTCCTGTGACCTCTAGTCGATTTGCAGACAGTGGTTTCCTGTGACCTCTATTCGATATGTACACAGTGGTTTCTGTTAAATCTAGTCGATTTGCAGACAGTGGTTTCTGTGACCTCTAGTCGATTTGCAGATAGTGGATTCTGTGACCTCTAGTCGATTTTCAGACAGTGGTTTCTGTGACCTCTAGTCGATTTTCAGACAGTGGTTTCTGTGACCTCTACTCGATATGCAGACAGTTGTTTCTGTGACCTCTAGTCGATTTGCAGACAGTGGTTTCAGTGACCTCTACTCGATTTGCAGACAGGGGTTTCGATTGTGACCTCTGTGAGTTTGCGATTTGCGATTTGACAGTGGTTTCTGTGACCTCTAGTCGATTTTCAGAAAGTGGTTTCTGTGACATCTAGTCGATTTGCCTATCGATATGCAGACAGTCGTTTTGCAGGCCGTGGTTTCTGTGAACTCTAGTCGATTTTCAGAAAGTGGTTTCTGTGACATCTAGTCGATTTGCAGACAGTGGTTTCTGTGACATCTGTGTCGATTCGATATGACAGTGGTTTCTGTGACCTCTAGTCGATTTGCAGACCGTGGATTCTGTGACCTCTAGTCGATTTTCACACAGTGGTTTCCTGTGACCTCTAGTCGATTTTCAGACAGTGGTTTCTGTGACCTCTAGTCGATTTTCAGACAGTGGTTTCTGTGACCTCTACTCGATATGCAGACAATTGTTTCTGTGAACTCTAGTCGATTTGCAGACAGTGGTTTCAGTGACCTCTACTCGATTTGCAGACCGTGGATTCTGTGACCTCTAGTCGATTTTCAGACAGTGGTTTCCTGTGACCTCTAGTCGATATGAGGACAGTGGTTTCTGTGACCTTAGTCGATTTGCAGACTGTGGTTTCTGTGACCTCTAGTCGATTTGCAGACAGTGGATTCTGTGACCTCTAGTCGATTTTCAGACAGTGGTTCCTATGACCTCTAGTCGATATGCAGATAGTGATTTCTGTGACCTCTAGTCTATATGCAGACAGTGGTTTCTGTGACCTCTAGTCGATTTAGACTTTGGTTTCTGTGACGTCTAATCGATTTGCAGACAGTGGTTTCTGTGACCACTTGTCGATTTGCAGACAGTGGTTTCCTCTGACCTCTAGTCGATATGCAGACAGTGGTTTATGGTGACCTCTAGTCGATTTGCAGACAGTGGTTTCTGTGACCTCTAGTCGATTTGCAGACAGTGGTTTCTGTGACGTCTAGTCGATTTGCAGACAGTGGTTTCTGTGACCACTTGTCGAATTGCAGACAGTGGTTTCCTCTGACCTCTAGTCGATATGCAGACAGTGGTTTACTCTGACCTCTAGTCGATTTGCAGACAGTGGTTTCATGTGACTTCTAGTCGATATACAGACAGTGGTTTCCTGTGACCTCTAGTCGATTTGCAGACAGTGGTTTCTGTGACCTCTAGTCGATTTGCAGACAGTGGTTTCTGTGACCTCTAGTCGATTTGCACACAGTGGTTTCCTGTGACCTCTACTCGATTTGCAGACAGTGGTTTCCTGTGAACTCTAGTCGATATGCAGACAGTGGTTTCTGTGACCTTTAGTCGATTTGCAGACTGTGGTTTCTGTGACCTCTAGTCGATATGCAGACAGTGGTTTCAGTGACCTCTGGTCGATTTGCAGACAGTGGTTTCTGTGACCTCTAGTCGATATGCAGTTAGTGATTTCTGTGACCTCTAGTCGATATGCAGACAGTGGTTTCCTGTGACCTCTAGTCGATTTGCAGACAGTGGTTTCTGTGACCTCTAGTCGATTTTCAGACAGTGGTTTCTGTGAACTTGTAGAGGGCCGTTTGTAGGGGTGGATAGCGATGGCTGGTATGTTGTTGATAGAAGACAGACGTGGACGAAACGCCTGTAAGGTTCAGATTCTCCTGCTAGCCGGCCCAACTACATAAAAAGGTTGGACTTGGTTAAGTCCAAAGAAGAAGGAAAAGAAAGCAAACAAAAACAAGACCGATAATATATGTATACACAACAAATATATATTCATAACAAGTTACAATACAAGAAAACAGTACAAAGGACAAAGTGTGGGAATATTCCGTGTGGAGCGTGTGTGACAGTTTAGCGTGATTTCACGCTATTTCTTGTTAGGGACTACCTTTTATAGGTTGATAGTTGAAATCCTCTAGGAAGACGAGAAATTTACCTCGGTGCGTTAGTGCACAAGCCTGAAAAGTAAAAAGAGAGATCGAAGCGAAGGGTCTTTGGCTATTTATAGCCAGGAAAGAGAGACCTCTGGTGAAAGGGTTACAAACTGAAGGAGGAGGTAACTCGACAATACCCCCACCAGATTAAAGGTTGTAAGGAAATGAAAACTTTTAATATATAAAGAAAAAAGGTTCGTTAAAGTCTGAATATTGTTCTTGTGGACTGAAAAGAAAATGTGTCAGAAGTGTGGTTGAGATTCGTGATTCGACGAAATGTAGTGTTGTCTCGGGGTGCAGTGTTATATTTCAGCGAGTTAGAATTGGGAACGTCCTGTAAAATGCGTCGGTAGTGGTCTGCGTTGCTATCAAAATTTTGTTTTTTTTTGCTCCACTTTGAATTGGTTGTGTCGATCTATGCACCTGTCTACTGGCTTGTTTGTAGTTGGTTTGAAAAAACGAGGTGGTTCGTGGGGTTTCATCGGCGCACTAAAGTTAATAGACGCAGCGTATTCGTGAAGTTGAGCTGAATTTCTACCGAGTGTCGAATGCATGTTTGAGAGAATTTGCTGGTATTGTCGATAGAGTATCGTTCTGGCAAAATCTCGGTTTGTTTGAGTCGCGTAATTGCAGAATGAGATGAAGGACGGTGAATTGCCTTTAAGACTGCATTGGACATTTGAAATATGTGCAATGTTTAGCACAATGTGAGTGGATGTGTAGTCAGTTGAAGTTGTGTTGACTAGAATGTCCACGTGTGTTTGAGAAGAATGAGAAGCAAGCAGTGGCGTGAAGATATCGCCACGTGGTGTAAGTTGAGTGTTGCTTCATGTCGGAATCACGAATGTTGTTTAAAAAATGAGACAGTGAGTCGTCTGCAATGGTTTGGAATCACCAATCGTATATAATGGAACAGTGAGTCGTCCAGTGGTTTGGTTCACACTTTTTTTTTATTTCAGTCCAGAAGAAAACAGTGTTAGTAGAAAATAGCGTTGTTTTCCGTTTGGTACAGCCTTAAGCATGTCTGCCGGGTGAAATTAGGTCAAACGTCGCCGAGAGAAAGAAAGGGTCAAGCAAATATAGACCAGTGGGTAAAGAGTTCTAAAGGTTCGTCTTCAATAGTAGTAATTGTTGTTCTTTCGTTGATAGTGTACGAAAAGAAGTTTTTTCTCAATTTTTTCCTATCTGGCTCTCTTTTTGGGAAGGTGTGTATAAGAAATTGTTTGTTTTTGTACATATATATCGTCTTGTGTGTTTTTTAGCAGGAGTGGAAAAATCACGTCGGGGTCACCATTTGTAGAGGGCCGCTTGTAGGGGTGGATAGCGATGGCTGGTATGTTGTTGATAGAAGACAGACGTGGACGAAACGCCTGTAAGGTTCAGATTCTTTTGCTAGCCGGCCCAACTACATAAAAAGGTTGGACTTGGTTAAGTCCAAAGAAGAAGGAAAAGAAAGCAAACAAAAACAAGACCGATAATATATGTATACACAACAAATATATATTCATAACAAGTTACAATACAAGAAAACAGTACAAAGGACAAAGTGTGTGGGAATATTCCGTGTGTGCGAGCGTGTGTGTATTGTGCTTAGCGTGATTTCACGCTATTTCTTGTTAGGGACTACATTTTGAGGTTGATAGTTGAAATCCTCTAGGAAGACGAGAAATTTACCTCGGTGCGTTAGTGCACAAGCCTGAAAATTAAAAAGAGAGATCGAAGCGAAGGGTCATTGGCTATTTATAGCCAGGAAAGAGAGACCTCTGGTGAAAGGGTTACAAACTGAAGGAGGAGGTAACTCCGACAAACTCTAGTCGATTTGCAGACAGTGGTTTCTGTGACCTCTAGTCGATTTGCAGACAGTGGATTCTGTGACCTCTAGTCGATTTTCAGACAGTGGTTTCTGTGACCTCTACTCGATATGCAGACAGTGATTTCTGCGACCTCTAGTCGATTTGCAGACAGTGGTTTCTGTGACCTCTACTCGATTTGCAGACAGTGGTTTCCTATGACCTCTAGTCGATTTGCAGACAGTGGTTTCTGTGACTTCTAGTCGATATGCAGTTAGTGATTTCTGTGACCTCTAGTCGATATGCAGACAGTGGTTTCTGTGACCTCTAGTCGATTTAGACAATGGTTTCTGTGACGTCTAGTCGATTTGCAGACAGTGGTTTCTGTGACCACTTGTCGATTTGCAGACAGTGGTTTCCTCTGACCTCTAGTCGATATGCAGACAGTGGTTTACTGTGACCTCTAGTCGATATGCAGACAGTGGTTTCATGTGACCTCTAGTCGATATTCAGACAGTGGTTTCTGTGACCTCTAGTCGATTTGCAGACTGTGGTTTCTGTGACCTCTAGTCGATTTGCAGAAGGTGGTTGCTGTGACCTCAAGTCGATTTGCAGACAGTGGTTTCTGTGACCTCTAGTCGATATGCAGACAGTGGTTTCCTGTGACCTCTAGTCGATTTGCAGACAGTGGTTTCTGTGACCTCTAGTCGATTTTCAGACAGTGGTTTCCTGTGACCTCTAGTCGATTTGCAGGCCGTGGTTTCTCTGACCTCTAGTCGATTTGCAGACAGTCCTTTCTGTGACCTCTAGTCGATATGGAGACAGTGGTTTCTGTGACCTCTAATCGATTTGCAGACAGTGGTTTCTGTGACCTCTAGTCGATTTGCAGACAGTGGTTTCTGTGACCTCTAATCGATTTGCAGACAGTGGTTTCTGTGACCTCTAGTCGATTTGCAGACAGTGGTTTCTGTGACCTCTAGTCGATTTGCAGACAGTGGTTTCTGTGACCTCTAGTCGATTTGCAGACAGTGGTTTCTGTGACCTCTAGTCGATTTGCAGGCCGTGGTTTCTCTGACCTCTAGTCGATTTGCAGACAGTCCTTTCTGTGACCTCTAGTCGATATGCAGACAGTGGTTTCTGTGACCTCTAATCGATTTGCAGACAGTGGTTTCTGTGACCTCTAGTCGATTTGCAGACAGTGGTTTCTGTGAAATCTAGTCGATTTGCAGACAGTGGTTTCTGTGACCTCTAGTCAATATGCAGACAGTGGTTTCTGTGACCTCTAGTCGATTTGCAGACAGTGGTTTCTGTGACCTCTAGTCTATTTGCAGACAGTGGTTTCTGTGACCTCTAGTCGATTTGCAGACAGTGGTTTCCTGTGACTTCTAGTCGATTTGCAGACAGTGGTTTCATGTGACCTCTAGTCGATATGTACACAGTGGTTTCTGTGACCTCTAGTCGATTTGCAGACAGTGGTTTCTGTGACATATAATCGATTTGCAGAAAATGATTGCTGTGACCTCTAGTCGATTTGCAGACAGTGGTTTCTGTGACCTCTAGTCGATATGCAGACAGTGATTTCCTAGTCGATTTGCAGACAGTGGTTTCTGTGACCTCTAGTCGATTTGCAGACAGTGGTTTCTGTGACCTCTAGTCGATTTGCAGACAGTGGTTTCCACCTCTAGTCGGTTTCTGTGACCTCTAGTCGATTTGCAGACAGTGGTTTCCTGTGACCTCTAGTCGATTTAGTCGATTTGCAGTGGTTTCCTGTCGACCTCTCTGTCGATTTGCAGACAGTCCTTTCTGTGACCTCTAGTCGATATGCAGACAGTGGTTTCTGTGACCTCTAATCGATTTGCAGACAGTGGTTTCTGTGACCTCTAGTCGATTTGCAGACAGTGGTTTCTGTGAAATCTAGTCGATTTGCAGACAGTGGTTTCTGTGACCTCTAGAATACCTCTAGTCGATTTGCAGACAGTGGTTTCTGTGACCTCTAGTCGATTTGCAGACAGTGGTTTCTGTGACCTCTAGTCGATTTGCAGACAGTGGTTTCCTGTGACCTCTAGTCGATTTGCAGACAGTGGTTTCTGTGACCTCCTAGTCGATTTGCAGGCCGTGGTTTCTGTGACCTCTAGTCGATTTGCAGACAGTCCTTTTCTGGTGACCTCTGGTTCGATTTCGCAGACAGTGGTTTCTGTGACCTCTAATCGATTTGCAGACACTGGTTTCTGAAAATGATTTGCCTCTAGTCGATATGCAGACAGTGGTTTCTGTGACCTCTAGTCGATTTGCAGACAGTGGTTTCTGTGACCTCTAGTCAATTTGCAGACAGTGGTTTCTGTGACCTCTAGTCGATTTGCAGACAGTGGTTTCCCTGTGACCTCTAGTCGATTTGCAGACAGTGGTTTCTGTGACCTCTAGTCGATTTGTAGACAGTGGTTTCCTGTGACCTCTAGTCGATTTGCAGACAGTGGTTTCTGTGACCTCTAGTCGATTGCAGACAGTGGTTTCTGTGACCTCTAGTCGATTTGCAGACAGTGGTTTCTGTGACCTCTAGTCGATTTGCAGACAGTGGTTTCTGTGACCTCTAGTCGATTTGCAGACTGGTTTCTGTGAAATCTAGTCGATTTGCAGACAGTGGTTTCTGTGAAATCTAGTCGATTTGCAGACAGTGGTTTCTGTGACCTCTAGTCGATTTGCAGACAGTGGTTTCTGTGACCTCTAGTCGATTTGCAGACACTGGTTTCTGTGAAATCTAGTCGGACAGTGTTTTCTGTGACCTCTAGTCGATTTGCAGACAGTGGTTTCATGTGACCTCTAGTCGATTTGTAGACATTGGTTTCTGTGACCTCTAGTCGATTTGCAGACAGTGGTTTCTGTGACCTCTAGTCGATTTGCAGACAGTTGCTGTGATCTAACCTGGTTTCCCTAGTCGATTTGCAGACAGTGGTTTCCTTGACCTCTAGTCGATTTGCAGACAGTGGTTTCCTTAGACCTCTAGTCGATTTGCAGACAGTGGTTTCTGTGACCTCTAGTCGATTTGCAGACAGTGGTTTCTGTGACCTCTAGTCGATATGCAGACCGTGGTTTCCTGTGACCTCTAGTCGATTTGCAGACAGTGGTTTCTGTGACCTCTAGTCGATTTGCAGACAGTGGTTTCTGTGACCTCTAGTCGGTTTGTCGATTTGCAGACAGTGGTTTTGTGACCTCTAGTCGATTTGCAGACACTGGTTTCTGTGACCTCTAGTCGATTTGCAGACAGTGGTTTCCTGAGACCTCTAGTCGATTTGCAGACAGTGGTTTCTGTGACCTCTAGTCGATTTGCAGAAAATGATTGCTGTGACCTTTCGATTTGAGACCTCTAGTCGATATGCAGACATTGGTTTCTGTGACCTCTAGTCGATTTGCAGACAGTGGTTTCTGTGACCTTTGCAGACAGTGGTTTCTGTGAAAGACAGTGGTTTCCTGTGAACTCTAGTCGATTTGCAGGGCGTGGTTTCTGTGACCTCTAGTCGATTTGCAGACAGTGGTTTCTGTGACCTCTAGTCGATTTGCAGACAGTGGTTTCTGTGACCTCTAGTCGATTTACAGTCAGTGGTTTCTGTGACCTCTAGTCGATTTGCAGACACTGGTTTCCTGTGAAATCTAGTCGATTTGCAGGCAGTGGTTTCTGTGACCTCTAGTCGACTTGCAGACAGTGCTTTCTGTGACCTCTAGTCGATTTGCAGACAGTGGTTTCTGTGACCTCTTGTCGATTTGCAGACAGTGGTTTCCTGTGACCTCTAGTCGATTTGCAGACAGTGGTTTTTGTGACCTCTAGTCGATTTGTAGACAGTGCTTTCTGTAACCTCTAGTCGATTTGCAGACAGTGGTTTCCTGAGACCTCTAGTCGGTATGCAGACAGTGGTTTCTGTGACATCTAATCGATTTGCAGAAAATGATTGCTGTGACCTCTAGTCGATTTGCAGACAGTGGTTTCTGTGACCTCTAGTCGATATGCAGACCGTGGTTTCCTGTGACCTCTAGTCGATTTGCAGACAGTGGTTTCTGTGACCTCTAGTCGATTTGCAGACAGTGGTTTCTGTGACCTCTAGTCGATTTGCAGACAGTGGTTTCCTGTGAACTCTAGTCGATTTGCGGGCCGTGGTTTCTGTGACCTCTAGTCGATTTGCAGACAGTCCTTTCTGTGACCTCTAGTCGATATGCAGACAGTGGTTTCTGTGACCTCTAGTCGATTTACAGACAGTGGTTTCTGTGACCTCTAGTCGATTTGCAGACACTGGTTTCTGTGAAATCTAGTCGATTTGCAGACAGTGGTTTCTGTGACCTCTAGTCGATATGCAGACAGTGGTTTCTGTGACCTCTAGTCGATTTGCAGACAGTGGTTTCTGTGACCTCTGGTCGATTTGCAGACAGTGGCCTCTGTGACCTCTAGTCGATTTGCAGACAGTGGTTTCCTGTGACCTCTAGTCGATTTGCAGACAGTGGTTTCTCTGACCTCTAGTCGATTTGTAGACAGTGCTTTCTGTAACCTCTAGTCGATTTGCAGACAGTGGTTTCCTTAGACCTCTAGTCGGTATGCAGACAGTGGTTTCCTTAGACCTCTAGTCGATATGCAGACAGTGGTTTCTGTGACCTCTAGTCGATTTGCAGACAGTGGTTTCTGTGACCTCTAGTCGATTTGCAGACCGTGGTTTCTGTGAAATCTAGTCGATTTGCAGACAGTGGTTTCTGTGACCTCTAGTCGGTATGCAGACAGTGGTTTCTGTGACCTCTAGTCGATTTGCAGACAGTGGTTTCTGTGACCTCTAGTCGATTTGCAGACAGTGGTTTCTGTGATCTCTAGTCGATTTGCAGACAGTGTTTTCCTGTGACCTCTAGTCGATTTGCTGACAGTGGTTTCATGTGACCTCTAGTCGATATGTACACATTGGTTTCTGTGACCTCTAGTCGATTTGCAGACAGTGGTTTCTGTGACCTCTAGTCGATTTGCAGAAAATGGTTGCTGTGATCTCTAGTCGATTTGCAGCCAGTGGTTTCTGTGACCTCTAGTCGATATGCAGACAGTGGTTTCCTGTGACCTCTAGTCGATTTGCAGACAGTGGTTTCTGTGACCTCTAGTCGATTTGCAGTCAGTGGTTTCTGTGACCTCTAGTCGATTTGCAGACAGTGGTTTCCTGTGACCTCTAGTCGATTTGCAGGCCGTGGTTTCTGTGACCTCTAGTCGACTTGCAGACAGTCCTTTCTGTGACCTCTAGTCGATATGCAGACAGTGGTTTCCTGAGACCTCTAGTCGGTATGCAGACAGTGGTTTCTGTGACCTCTAGTCGATTTGCAGACATTGGTTTCTGTGATGTCTAGTCGATTTGCAGACAGTGGTTTCTGTGACCTCTTGTCGATTTGCAGACAGTGGTTTCCTGTGACCTCTGGTCGATATGTACACAGTGGTTTCTGTGACCTCTAGAGGTTGTAATTTCTATTAACAAAATTGACCCCAAATTCAGGGGTTGGATCTATCTATCTATCTATCTATCTATCTATCTATCTATCTATCTATCTATCACAACCTGTTTATTTTCTATCTATCTATCTATATATATATATATATAGATAGATAGATAGATAGATAGATAGATAGATAGATAGATAGATAAATTTTCTTCTGTTCACATCAATTTCAGTCAGTTCATATATGTAATTCCTGAGCTGACCGAATGGTTGAAAGTTTGCTTCGTAACTTTTCTGTATCTGAAATATATACAAACGAACTTTACTGAAATTTGAACTCAGTTCAGTAGTTCAACTTTCTGTTCTATTAACCGTTATATCAACTCGATCCCTACAAGAGAATGAAGTCTACGGCAAAGAATATTCGCGTTTTCATTGCGGTGCATTAACAAAAGTTTGCCTGTTGTAGTGTAACAGAGATCTCATTTCAAAGATCAGTTTTATGAAAGATGGAACCCCAATGAATAGTTTTCTACCAGGTTAAAAATAATTACCAATGTTTTTATTTTTTTGTTTTTGTTTTTTTTTAACAGTAACTAACTAGATAAAATTTTAAAAAATAAAATAAAATCTCTATTTGTTGGTTGCAGGCTTTACTTGTATAAATTATTATACTTTTGGCAATTCTGATAAAAACCTTCGCCTCGATCTTTACCTTAAACTCAACGTGACAAAGACCATCACCTCCCCAACTTCCGATGTCTCATTAAGCACAATGTCAGTAATATAATCATTTCAGCAAAAGAAGTCTCTAGACTTATTAAAAGTCTCAACCCACAAAATACCCGATTCTAGCAACCGCTGCTTAAAATATTTCCCAAGCATGTGGAAGGTGGCAAGCGTATGCCCAGTCTTCAAGAATGCCAGCAACCGATGCCCTCCCTCCCAGTATAGACACATTAGTAAACTTTTGAGGCCTTAATCAACAAGAAGGTCGTCGAGCAAATGGATAGGAAAAACTTCTTGTGCGACGAGTAGTATTGGTTTCGATCAGGCTGATCCACTGCTGATCATAGCATTAGATATTTCGAAGGCATTCGACAATGTATGGTACAAATGTTTGCTACACAAGATCTCCAGCTATGGAATGACTGGAAGGGTTTTCTCTATTATAAAATCCTTCCATGCAGGTAGGTCCCTGAAGGTAGTTTTTAACGCAGCCGTCCTCCAACGTTTTTAACGTCAGCCGTTCTCGGGCCAACACTCTTTCTGATTTACATAAATGATCTAAGAATATACTCCGATCATTTGTAAACGTCTATGCCGATGATACAACGACATGCGGGCGCACCTCTAAAAGTACTGACGATCAGAGATTGGCAGTTGATCTCTTTTTCGATGTAACACTAACTTCCTGGTGGGGAAAAAAACTGGCTGGTTACATTCAATGGCTCTAAAACTAAACTGGCTACATTTCATCACCGCCGATCAAAGTCTGAGCTACCGCCAGTCACGATGAACGAGTGTCTCCTCGACGAGGCACCGAGCCTTTAGAGGATGTTGGGTCTCACCCACACCCGACCTCATCTATCTATCTATCTATCTATCTATCTATCTATCTATCTATCTATCTATCTATCTCAGTTTCTTTATATCTATCTATCTATCTATCTATCTATCTATCTATCTATCTATCTCAGTTTCTTTCTTTCTTTCTATCTATCTTTCTTTCTTTCTTTCTTTCTTTCTTTCTTTCTTTCTTTCTTTCTATCTCAGTTTCTTTATATCAGACCCTGAGCTACCGCCAGTCACGATGAACGGATGCCCCCTCGAGGAGGCACCGAGCCTTTTAAAGGATGTTGGGCCTTACGCACACCTGACCTCATCTATCTATCTATCTATCTATCTATCTATCTATCTATCTATCTATCATCTCAGTTTCTTTATATCTATCTATCTATCTATCTATCTATCTATCTCTATCTATCTATCTATCTCAGTTTCTTTCTTTCTTTCTATCTATCTTTCTTTCTTTCTTTCTTTCTATCTATCTATCTATCTATCTATCTATCTCAGTTTCTTTCTTTCTATCTATCTTTCTTTCTTTCTTTCTTTCTTTCTATCTATCTATCTATCTATCTATCTATCTATCTATCTATCCCAGTTTCTTTATATCAGACCCTGAGCTACCGCCAGTCACGATGAACGGATGCCCCCTCGAGGAGGCACCGAGCCTTTAAAGGATGTTGGGCCTTACGCACACCCGACCTCATCTATCTATCTATCTATCTATCTATCTATCTATCTATCTCAGTTTCTTTATATCTATCTATCTATCTATCTATCTATCTATCTATCTATCTATCTCAGTTTCTTTCTTTCTTTCTATCTATCTTTCTTTCTTTCTATCTATCTATCTATCTATCTATCTATCTATCTATCTATCTATCTATCTATCTATCTCAGTTTCTTTCTTTCTATCTTTCTTTCTTTCTTTCTTTTCTTTCTTTCTATCTATCTATCTATCTATCTATCTATCCCAGTTTCTTTATATCAGACCCTGAGCTACCGCCAGTCACGATGAACGGATGCCCCCTCGAGGAGGCACCGAGCCTTTAAAGGATGTTGGGCCTTACGCACACCCGACCTCATCTATCTATCTATCTATCTATCTATCTATCTATCTATCTATCTATCTATCTATCTCAGTTTCTTTATATCTATCTATATACCTATCTATATCAGTTTCTTTATATCTATCTATCTAAGTTTCCTTATATCTATCTATCTATCTAG